TCCTGGCCGTGCCGATCCTGGGCTCAGGATAGGGCTGTCCAGCATCGGTGCACGTGTATGCCTGGCGCCCTCCCACCCCTGCCGGGCCCCCGCCCACGCCGCGCGGACGAGCTCTGCGCAGGTGTGTGAGAAGGAGCCCGGCTGCCAGCTGCTCCAGAACCCGGACGGCAGGACCGTCAGCGCGCAGAGGACGTCTGGGCTGGTCGCTGGGCGCGGAGGTTTTCGGAGGTTTTCGGTGCCCGGGGTGGTTTCAATAAGCTGCGCCTCGGCGAGAGCGTTTCGGCGAGAGCGTTCCGTGGGGGGCCCCGATCGTCCCGACCGGCCGACGAAGACTTGAGTTTTGACCTGAAGAACAGACGATGAGATCATTGGGGAGAGACTCGGGGGTGGACGCATCGACCCCCGATCGCCCATTGATTGCCGAGAAGGGGCCCGATAGCCCATCCCGCCCCCCCCCCGAATTGGTCTCCCCCTGTCGTTCCCATTCAGAAGGGGAGAGAGCGAGGGTGTGGAGAGTTTGGAGGGACACTTGAACATAGTTATGCTCGTATGTTCCGTACGCGCGGGGAGTATCACAGCGGAGGAGAGGGAGAGGGAGATGACGAGAGATGGAGAAGGGCAGGAGAGGATGGGAAGGATACAGTGAAAGAGCGAGGCGACCAGGAAGAGGGCGAGCGAGGAGGGGAGAGGAACAGAGATACGTGGAGGGGAGGAATGTAGGGAGAGAGGATGGGGAGGGTCATATATTGCGACGGCCCTACGGCTGAAGGGTGACGACGACGACGACGATGATGACGACGACGATCACGACGACGCTGACGCTCTGCAACCGAAAGCTTCTCCCAGAGAGACGCACCCCTGGACCCCCACCTCCCCGGCGGGGGAGGGATCAAAGGGAAGGGGCTTCCTGTCGACTCGATTACGACGTTGCTCGATTTCCCTCTGGCTGGAACGCTTGAGGGGGAGCGGCGATGACGACAACGACGGCTCAAACGGAAAAGTCTTTCACACACGCCAGCTGCCCGCGGCAAACCCCGCCACCGCTCAGCAGCGCAGTAGCGCAGCAGGAAGGAGGCAGGCTTACGGCGCGTTCCAGCTCAGCGCCCTGTCTGACCAAACGCGGGCCTCGAGCCCCTCCTCCGTGTCTGCAGCCCCTTGGCCCCCTTCTTCCTTCCTCGTGGAGGCCTCTTCGGAGCTTCTCCGGGTCCCTTGCGGGGCCCGCCTGGAGGCTCGGGGCCGTCTTTCTAGGCGCGATGGTACCACCGAGCCCGCCCGAAGAGGCTCGCTTGTCTAATCCTTGGGGAGATCTGGGCTGGTCTTGGGGCTTGGAGCTCTCTTGCGGCAGCCCTGGAGCCGTCTTGGTTGGGGGGCTCTTGAGCCATCCTGGGCCCGTCCTGGGGCTTTCCTGGGCCGTCTGGGGGCCGACGAGGATCGCCGAAGTTTTTCCGAGGCGATCTGGAGCCAACAAGTTTTTGGAAACAAGCATGCGTTGGTTTCCCGAATGCTTTTCGATGCTTTTCGTTTCTAGGGCCTCGCTGAATGCCGAATGCCTTTTTGGGCATGTCTTGGAGGCTTCTTAGGATCTCTGGGGGCATCTTGGGGAGATCATGCAGCCTTTTGGGGCTTGTTGTGCCGTCTCTGGATGACTTTCTTGTCTTGGAGCCCACTGGACGCCGAAAAGGGCGCCAGGGAGCAAACACGGAGGGACGACTGTCTTCCAGCCAGGAGGAGGAGGGAAGATGACAAGGGGGATGGGTGGACATGGACAACGGGGTGGGGGAAATCAGTTTGTGTTGCCGCGCGGATTCTCAACTGCGCTTGGGGCAGGGGGAGTGCTTTGGCGGGGGGGGGGCGATGGGGCTGCGGCGTGGGGTGGGGTGGGGTGGGGGGGAGCTGGCACGGGCCTTGGTATCTGCGCTTTTGATTTTCTGCGTGGAGGGCGCGGGCGCAGGGACCTGGTTTAACCGTTGGGCTAGACGCGTTGAGGAGCCCTTCGTTATCGCCCTGCAGGAGGGCGACACCGTCGGACAACAAGCAGGGGGCAAACAGCCGCACGCGCGGCGACTTTCCGAGGTCCGTTCGCGCGGTGGCGCGTGGACCTCGAGCACTCAGCACGGCCGAGCCAAGGGAGCTTCTCGCTGGCCAGGCCACGGCACCGAGGCCGGGGACGGTCGGCGACGGGGCCGCAGTAATGACATCGGCGGAGACGGAGGGTGAGTGCCAGGGTCGGGGATCGTCGGGGACGGGGTCGAGCGAAGGAAATCGGCGGCGACGGCGACGGCGATGATGTGCTGTTGGCCGGGCCTCGCAGGGTGGGAGCGACGACGGCGCGGACGAAGACGTTTTGCAGGTGGCCGAGCCTCGCAGGGTGGGCCCTTTCCCGAGTCCGTGCTTCAGCGCGGATCGCGAGCGCGCCTCGGAGAAGCAGGGCGAGGATGCCGCGGAGGAGGCGGGCAAGACGGCTGCGACCGTGACGGCGTCGCGAGAACCCCGTCAAGAT